AGATAGTATTGAAATCCACACAGTGACAGAGGACTTTGTTCTGAAGGAGTTGGATAAACTGGACCCCTACAAGAGCACAGGTATTGATAGCATCCCAGCCAGGTCTATGGGGGATGGTGACACTATACTGAACACACCAATGGCACGTCTAGTTTATCTCTCCATTAACAACACCTGTCTATAAGGCGACAGGTCTGATGTAGATAATAACATGCCAGTAAGTAAAATAATTGGTGTAAATTGTAAGCTTTTGTTGTATGTCGATGTCAGTGCTCTTCGGTGTCAGGAAGAGATCTAAACAACAGAACTAACGAGTTATCATCTAAACTGGAGTCATGTAAACAGTGGCTCATAAACAAAAAATTATTCCTATACTTTGGAATGACTAAAGTAATATTATTTGGATTAAAAAGAAAACTAAAAAAAGGTAACTGATTCATTGTACAGTGTGGGAATGAACCCGTCTCAACCGTAACCTTAGTGAATCTTGTTTGTCCGGTGAATTATTCGTAGAAAATATAGTTAAAAAGGTAACGATAAAATATAATTTATCTTATGCTAAATGTCACTTGGACTATTCATGATACTCTACCGTAACACAGAAGCTACAGTAAAATCCAAGATACAAATTATTCAAAACATGGCGGTGAGGTTCATTCTTGACATGAAAACAAAGTCCTCCAATCATGTTAAGTGTGACGGAAAGAGTGAAGCAACTGAGGCTGAATCACGCTTACAGAATATTCAATGGACTGTGCCCAGAATATCAAACAACAAACTTTGCAAGAATTCGGGATATGAACCAGCAGAGCACTAGAGGGAGCGAACCTGGTATCCACGGTCAAGTGAAAAAAAAAATCTTCCTTACTGCTATAACAGACTGAAACAAGTTACGAGACCACATTAAAACCAGTAATGGTATTAAACAATTCAAAGCTAAAACAAAGACATATATAACAGATAAAGCTACAGCAAGAGAAGAAAGTGAGTTTCTATATTATTAAACCATATTAACCTGCCAGCCCCGTATAGCCCAAGCGCAATATAATACTAGTTGAAATCTGTCAAATAAATGTTTACTAATACTCCTGTAGACGTACTATTACTGATCAGAGACCAAGAGTAAGCCTAAGTAAAGGACCCTCCTGGAAATAAACAGCTGACAGTTATCCTTGGTCAAGTTGCCTTACGATTTTCCTTCACTGTCTCGGCACACAGAAAACTGTATCTCCCAGGACCTACGTGCACAGTACTGTAACCTACTGTGTCTATATCCATGCTGAACTGTATAACTGCACAGTTTATAAACATTTTTATTCAATTGTAAACATGTGTGATAATTTATATGAATCAAAATCATTATTATTATTATTGAAAAAGAGCCTCTTAATAACTGAAACTTAATAGAATAGTATACCCCAAAATATTTATATTTTCTCTCATAATTCATAAAAGAAAATGTAATATGAGAGACTAAAGTATTATTTGAGGGTATCATACAAACTTAAGTAAACTATAAACTGTGCGTATTTCCATATATTTCATCATTATATTAGTACACCGTAAATACTTAGTAACACCACTAATTTATCCACTTAACTAAATACAAACACATACCACCAAAAATCACCATTCATCAGCTCTTATCTAATAATGACTCACAATAACGACACAAATTACATTAAAACACCTTTGGGTTCTAATGAAATAACCAAAGAATTGATAAAATACAGTTAATAAAAAAAAATATACCTCACGTACTGAAATATTCATAAATGAGGTAAGAAAAGACGAAAAATGTGATGACAAAATACTGCACAGATTCTAAAAAACAAAATTATCAAATATTTACAATTACACGAGTTTTAATGGTGTTCAATAAGCCGCGTATCGAGTGAATGGATTTAAATGGTATAGTGTGTAGTGTGGGTTTACAATGGGTTTAATAAATGGTTTAATGAGTAGTATTGGTGATCATCCTTGACTTGGTTTACGTGAATGGGTTTATATTGCAAAATAGCAAAGACAGGGTTTTTTTTTTTGGATGAATTTAAGAGCGAAATTTATATGATGATTATATTAACGGATTTAAGTTATTATTTGAGGGACATTATTTTGAGTTAATGTTTACTGAAGACAAGATAGCTAAAGGAATTTAAGTAAGTATTTAAAAGACTATTACCTGAAATGTGTTACTTGATTGAAAGATTTAAGGGAATTAATTCAAATATGTTATTTTACCCGCTAAAAACCTTAAGAATATTGGAAAGATTTTTTTTTTTAGAGTCAGGTTAGGTTAGGTTAGGTTTAGGTTAGGTTAGGTTTAGGTTAGGTTTTGGTTAGGTTAGGGTTAGGTTTAGGTTAGGTTTAGGTTAGGTTTAGGTTAGTTAGTGTCTAATCATAAATTGTTATCTTTTTTCGTCAACAGATCACTAGGTATGAGGAGGAAAATAATGAATAGGAAGACAAAAAGAGGGAGAGAAAAACGAGGAGGAAGAAG